TCCGGCCGGGGCTCGAACCCTCGACCTCCCGTACAACAGTCTAGCGCTCTATCCATTGAGCTAACCGGGAGGCGTTTCTTAGTCCTGTGAGTGTGGCGTCCGAGATAAGCAATTCTAGCCTATATGGTTGTAAGCAATGATACTACAATATAATTTTTTACTTCTCCGGTTATCTCCCTCTTGGAAGTCGATTTCACTAAAATGTTATCAGCATTCATTTGTTTACACGATACAGAACAAGATTCCATTGAGCTGATTTTTTGTGTTGGGCGCGTAACATTTATCATGTCCATCCCAAAAGCAGACCTTAACATGAGGGATTGTCTTTGTCACGGGATCGTATCCGTCCATTTCTGCATTTAAACTCTCCTGACGCGAATTCGTTTTACGCTCTCGCCGTTTTTGCTGGTGTAATTAAGATCACCGCTAAAGTCGGTTTCATTACGCCATTTCGAATACAAACGACATGACCCTGTGTAATCTGTGCGAGGAATAGATGCGTTTGAAGGACTTAAAGGAGTTTGCAGAGAGCGAGTGGCTCTGTAGAGAATGCCGACAACGCAAGTGCAAGTGATTTAGAATGTAAAGAAGCCCAAAACAAAGTAACAATTTTCCAAGGACTTAAGATTGCAAATGTTGTAACCCATAACGCGAAACAAGTCGAAATGTCAGTCTTGCTAATTTAATGATGGAGAGAACTCCATGCTGTGGAGTTCTGGCGGTGCCATGACACCGCCACAACAAGAGAGAAAAACCACAAAAGGGTACATTGAGTCAGGAATCCAATGATGTATGTGGTTGACAATGTCGCAGAGCAAAAGCTGAGTTTGCCCTAAAATACTGAAACTGGTTCATGCGAACATTCTTTATGAAACAGTCAATGACGAGGGAGGGTCCTGAAAAGAAAATTGCTCTAAACTCATAATAGCATGACGTTACTAGGCGTAGCGCTGGCTGAAACCTGATGTGCATCAGCTCAACAAAGTTCCAGCTTCGGGGGATTCGAGCCTTTTAATTAACTTATTGTCTACTACTTAAATACTTTAATCTCACCGTTCCTAATTCATCAAATTTGCCAGGTATTGGCATTCTAACTCAATGAACGTAATCGTAGTCATGTCAAACTGTCGAACTTAATTGATCAAAAGATGTCTTTTCTAATCCATGTGTTTTTCTTTCCTTTATCCGGTTTTTTTTTTTTTTTTTCGCATTAATCATGCAGGTAGCAGTTGAGAGCCTCGGTAAAGTGGGATATCAAGGGGGAAAGAGAAACACCTTAGATGCATTACAAGCCGCACAAAATATGCTCTTACTCAACCGCAGATCAGGAGTGCGCGACGGCAGTCGTAAAAGAGTGCTTCTTGTGACCACAGGGCCGTGTGCGCGCAATCTTAATGAGGCGATCACACTTCAGAGGTTGATTTGGGCAGCGATGCAAATTAAAAGCCTGGGAGCTGAAGTGTTTGTTGCTGCTGTCGGTGACAGAATTCCCAGAATTGAAGAACTGCTTTTAATTCCAAGTTCTACCGACGTGCATTTCTATCGTGTTGCCAGTATGACGGCATTTAAGAGTTTAGTGGATGAGATTCCTGTCCATATCGTTTACCAAGATGGTCAGTAGGTTGCACAGTGTTCACTTATATCATTGGCTGTGTCTAATGACTTGTGTTAGGGTCTCACAAAATCCTTGGCTTTACTTTAAGTAGAGATGCTCTCAGGTGAATGGAAAGAGGATGATGCTTTTCTTAACTGCACAAAAGAGATCCTATTTTACCAGTATCTGAAAAGTAGCATGTTGTTTTTAGGTTATTTTTTCGTTGTTCTTTGGTACTAACTCACTAGACGGATATGGTTTAGTGGTATAAACTCCTGGATGTATCGTAAAAGTTCTCGATAAAAGGATTATGAACTTCTTCAGCCGATATGGTTGACTTAATAAGCTAATTGCCACGGGAAACGAAGCAGTTGTTTGGAATTGCTTTTTACGAATCGTTCCAGTCAAATCAAAAATTGAGGGTAGTTATAGTAGATCTTAGTGGTAAAAGGTTTCAAACAACCTATCTGTCGTAGCTGCTGAAGGAACAACTCAGTACTTTTTCAACTCAGATCCTTCACAATGGACTGCTTTGAGCGGGTGATTAAATGTCTTATTTGTGGTCATTTCTCTCAGCAGCAGTGAGGCGCCTTGGCTTGGGTCGATAAATTAACGATTTATTAACCTCATCGTCTCCCCTTTCTCTCAGCTTTGCGTATATCGGATAGAGGCGTTTAGGCTGGCTGAATACTCCTACGAAAGTGTGTGTTTAATTGTAATAAAGAATTCTTTATTGATTTGTCATTATCTTAATTTCGCCTTGCGGTTCTCCGGGTAATTTCGCTTTATCTAATTTTCAAAAATTGATCACTTAGGTCAACCAAACCTAATTTTTACTTAAATCTGCATGTCTTATCAATTTTCAAGAGGAAATACGGAGATAGAACGATTAATCGGTTCAGCGCTAGGAGGTCGGGGGAGGAGTTGGGAAGGGAACATATCAACCGTCTGGCAAAAGTGTTATGAAATGAAACGGTACCCATCCTTCCTATTCCATCTTTTCCGCGGAATGGAGAACACTTGAAAGACGACATAGAGTAGTGAACAGTTTTGAAACTTAATGCGTTTACTCGGAATCGATCAAATAAACCTTTCAGTTACAGTAAATTTTTTCGCATTAAACTTTTTTGCACTATTTTTGTGCCCTTAACTTTTTCACATTAAATTTTTTTGTATTAAACCTTTCATAACAATTTTTTTTCTTTTTTGGATTAACATTTTTTGCCTGATTGTTAGGAGGAGCATATGTCAGATGGGTTTTATCCGTTTTATCAACTAATTTGATATATCAGTTGATGACGTTGATAGCTGACGAGGAGATAACGCTGGAAAAGTCAGTTTTAAAAACTCTCCAAATTATCTTGTAATAGGCTCCACTAACGCAGCACCAAGTTTCTTTAAAATCTTTCCACCTTAATGAAATCAATAGAGTACAGATGGTTCTATACTTACCACTTATTGCCAATTTTAATTACCTTACGCAAGAAATAGTTGAGGTAACGACACAAAAAATAAATGACTAAATAAACGTAAATGAAAGCAAAGTTTCTAAAGAAACTGTGGTCCTGCGTCGGTGGGGGTAACGAGGTAATTTGGTAATATCAACTAAGTTGAAATTGTAAATTGACCACTGTAAAGAGTTAAAAAGCTGACGTTTCGAGCGTTGGCCCTTCGTCTTCTCGAAATGTCAGCTTTTTAACTCTTTACGGTGGCCAGTTTACAATTTCAACTTAGTTGATATTACCAAATTACCCCCCAAAAATTATGTTTATTCTATGAGTTAACCACGGAGTTTGTCCACGCACTTTAGATAAATTAACGCCCTTGAGAAAGTCCTCTTTAAAGCTAAAGTATAGGAAAGAAGGTTTCGGTGATTGTGGACGGGAAGGTACTATTGAGACGAAATAACTTGGGCATTTAGTTAGTTACGTAGTCATTCTTATCTTATTCTAGTTTTCATCCTTATATTATGTTATTTTGACAGGACCCCATTGATAACAGTGCTCCTGCACTAAGGGCTATCCTGTGTAAATATTCGTTATTATTATTATTATTATTATTATTATTATTATTATTATCTCTCATGTCAAATAATACTTGCGGAGAAAGGAAAAAGAGTTTGAAAGAGTTTACTTTATTCCCCTCTTGGGTATATGAGTTGCAATTGAATCAACAATACATTAATTTCTCAGCGGTGCACATTTTCCTCTCCATTACAGCCTTTCTTGGCAATTCTCACATTGTTGCTCTTTACGAATAATCCTCCCTTCATCCGCCGTCTTAACTCTTGTATCGTTGTTTGGTGACCACAGACCTGCCTTTCGGTCCTTTTTGCCAGCCTTTCTATGCTACCTTGTTGATTCCTAGCGCTCTCGAAGACTTTTATTAGTCGGGCGACCGAGTAGAGGTTTCCCATCGGGTTTCTCCACAAAACTCCGTCGCGTACAATGGGGAATACCGCAGACACGTAATAATAAAGGCGCAACCTTTTTTCTACGATTCAAAGATCGCGGATATGTCGAATGTGTTAACAATTCGTGTCATCTTTTCTTCGCTCAAACATACAGACCCACAGACCGTTCGCGGTAGACCCACTCTAAAAGATGGCGCGTGTAATGAGCGTATATTTCGAACTGGTCGTTCCGGGAACTCAAAATAGTAAATGAATCAAATGATTTAGCGAAGGTCTCTCTAGAATCAAACCAGAAATCAAATGAGTTATCAGTGAACACTGAAATGTGGATGTGGACAGAGTGACAGGAGAACATTTGCTGATAAACACAAGGTGCCTCGTGATCAAACTCTGGGAAACGACAACAAAGATGCCATGTTGGACTTTCATCAGTGAGGATAAAAGTAATTGTTATATTTATGTGTCCTGTATCGTGATTACTAAGCTTACATTTGTTATGCTTTTGCTCAAAGAGAGTATATTATCCGCTGTTATTTTTCTGTTCGTTCCATTAGTTATGTCGCTCTTGTGCGAATATAAAATTCACGTTTTTGTTATGCAGGAATGTTTGTTTGGTACCAAATAACGCGATGTCAAACGAATGTGAAGATGTATAATTTGGACAAAGTAGCGCCATGCATAGAACAAAAGTGTGACGAATCAGTTGTGTGCACAACAAAATGATGTTGCAAAAGAAGTAGAATATGCAAAAGAATTCAGATCTCGTCATGCGGTGTTTGTTAATCGTGGTGATATTAACAGTGGTGAGTACCATGTGCGAAGACGATTCGATCGTGAGCAGAGCAGAATGCCAGTAAAAAAACCTAGAATTTAAGCTTTCACGTAAAAACAAAGGAATAAAGAAACTGATGTGTGGGGGAATTCTTGAAAACATTCCTATCTCATCAAAAATGTATTGCTATATCAAATACAGAGTTAGAAAAAGGAGCAGTAATGACAATATTAAGTTTGTACAAAAGATGAGAAAGAAATGGCATTCTAAACAGTCAACACTGAATCGAAAATTGTTGAATTGTAGAGACTCTGAGCAAATATCTATCTTTGTATAGCTGTAATACATAAACAAGTGAGTACAAGAATGCAAGCCACAGATGTCATTGTGCTACACTGAAT